TCTTTCCCATCTGTACAGTTGCTCTTGCTCCTGGCTGTTGTGTAGTAGTAGTGAGGTGGTGGGGACAGAAGACATCTTGCTTCTCCCATGATGTGCGCTAGATTCAAAGACAATCTAGTTCTGTGCCACTTATAATAATTGATAATTACTCCTTCAGAATACTTTACAGATAGCTGAGAATGCCCACCTTGGCCTGCTGAGGTAAGGAAGCATTGCTCTTTTGATTTTGCAGCTAAATACCTATGTAGCTTTGGCCGAAAAAAAAAAAGTAAAGGTGGATGCTGAGATTAGGGATTTAACTTTCTGAGGGTCTTATAGAGTGTGATTTAGATAAGTACTCAGCTGTGCACAGCTGTTGGAGTTGGGTGTTTCTGAGCACCTCCAACAAACAGTCCTAAATGTCCCATATTCGGCGTCTGGAAATTCAATTCTCAGTGGCCAAAGTGTACCAGATCAACACTGATGGATTTTTGGGACCTGTATGGCACAGGGCTCAGGCAGAAACTCCCATTTAGGCTCCTAGATAAATGGAAAGATTTTTAAATAGCCCCATCCTATGACAGCTCTCATTTTTCTCATTGACAACTGGATATGTGAGTATGCAGCTACTCCCCTGAGACACCTGCATGGAGGCAATTTAGCGCATGTTTGAGGTCTCATACTTTGCTTTAATATCCACCTTGGTTTCTCCAATGATACAGAGAGATTCTCATACTTACTTGAAGTTGTGACTTGGCCAAGATGACTGTTGCCTTCTCTTGTAGCAGATGTCCAGCAAAATCTCAGTGCTCTGTAATTAAGAGCACCTGCCACATTGCCTGGATGATGCAGCGGCTGCCAAACTGCCCACACAAGAGCAGTATTTCAGATTGCATGTATCCTTGAGAATGGAAATGCTCCTGCAGGAACACACCAAGAGATGCACTTTGGCTAATGGCTTTTGCATTCTCCCAGAGCACTTAGTCTGTGGGAGGATGACAGCGGGAAAGGGGAGGTGTGAGACATGAAAAAGAAGGAACAATAAAAATGGAAACTAGAGTGATCTTGGTGGAGCAAGGGAAAACAGTGAGTTAGAAATTGTTGTTCCTGTGACCTCTGCTAGGGCAGGAATAGAGAGAGGATAATAGAGAACCAAAGACCCAGCACTCATTGGTACAGCTGGGCTGGAGCCGGTAGCTGTTCCTCTCTGTCATCTTCCTTGGGCAATGTAACTGAGGGATGGCATGAGCTTCTGGCAAGCTGCCAGTGAAGCCCCCCATTAGGCATCCATGTGTTAATGTAATGGCATCTCCAAGGAAGTGGGTCACATCCCCGTGGCCTTTATTAAAAAAACCAAGCAGAAACTACCCCGAGAACAAGTGATGAGAAATGCCCAGACGAACCGCCGAAGGCAAAGAGAGTGGATGAGATCACTTTATATGACAGGACTCTCTTTTACTTGGTGCTTCAGTGATTTGCAGCCCTGGCTCTCTGCGGTCCCTCTGTTTCATCAGTGCTCGGTGCCACGTTGCCAGCACATGCCCCGTTGTTCTTGTGAAATGCTGAGTGCGGGAGGGCGAAGGCCTGGCTGCTCCAAATATCAGGAGACAGAGGCTCAGCTATCCGAGGAGGACAGCAAGCAGGCAGTGCTCTTCTGTGTACTCTTTTAGACAATAGGATTAAGGCCATCAGGCTGATTAATGTGATGTAAGTGAAAGCAGAATTTCCCCTCCCTTGGAGAAGCAGGAGAACAGTTAATTGAAGCGTTCTGTTGAAGCCAAATAATTCATGCATGTACGCCAAATGTTTTTTTGCCTTCCCTAAGCTGAGGACTGCCAGCTCCTTACCAAGATCCCAAAGGTGAAGTGTCTACGAAACACTCGGCGAGAAGGTGAGTATGGAAAGCTTTGCAGGTACAAAGATTTTACAGGTTTTCCCACATGGCCCTGTTTGCCTACCAGCTGTTTACATGGTATTTCTTATAGTTACAGTTTGTTTTTTCAGTGTAAGAGTTTGGTAGAGGGAGAACCTGGCTTATCAACTCTCAGGCTTCATACTTCATTTCATACTTTAAATAACGAAGTGGTGTCCAGAGACCCTGGCTAGAAGAAGGACCGCATTTTAAGATCTTTATGAATATAGATGCAGATGTAAGTCTTGTTCTTTTAAGCTCAGAGTGCAAGATAACAAGCCATCTAGGAGAGAAAAACAATCATATATCTATCATAAAGAGATACAATTAAGGAAAGTTATTTCTCATATATCTCCTATGTGCATAAACGGTAACACTGACTTTCTCAGCTGCTCTTTGGTTTAACTCACTTGTGCTGGCTCATTTCTAAAGCTGTCAGTGCACAGCAGCAGGCCTGGAGCAAGGATGTGGAAGGGGAGATGGGAATCACTGCTTAGTTCACAAAAAGCATCCCAGGTAGTGGGATGGTTTGTAAGAAAGTAAGGAGACATCTGAAAGCCAGGTTGGTATCTCTGACCACAGGGCAGAATGCAGAATAAAAGACAAATAGGAATAAAGCAGATAAGCAGTAAGAAAGGCATCAAGCAGAGAGTAAAGCTTGGTCCCGTGGAAGTGGTGAGAGAGGCAGCAGGGTACTCTAATGGAAGAGATACTGAGCAGGCAGCTGCAAGGTACCTGTGGAGAGGACTGGAAGGAAGAGGGGATGTCATCACAGCAGGAACCACATGAAAGCTCAGTGGCATGGGCAGAACTGACAGGCAAGGTCATTCTTTGTGTGCTGGGAGGGCTCAGCTGACAGTATCCCCCAGGGGATGCTCTGTTAAAGCTGCTCTCTGCTCCTGATGGAGGTGTGATATAAGAGAACCACCTGCTCCTTCTCTGTAATGGCCACACAAAGTATTTTTTGAAGGAGGCTCAGCTGTTTCCCTTTCTGACCTTCCTGCTCCTCTGCTGTCCTTTCCTCATTGTAGGGCTGATTCGCTCTCGGGTTCGAGGAGCTGAAGTGGCTACTGCTGATATCCTCACCTAGTAACGGGGGGGGGGCTGCAGCCAATGCTTCAGAGGGTAAAAGAGGTGAGCACTGTGTCCCCTCTGGGATGGATGTGGCTGGCCTGTCTTGTGCTGGTGGATCCTCTGTCCTCACATGCCATCAGCAGTATTGGTGAGGACAGAGCTTGCCCAGGTGCTCCTCGGGCAGGCTGTTACAGAGAAAGGTACAGCCTGAGCCACATGGGCGAGTGATCCATGATGAGTTTCTACATCCTCCTGCCAGTGTGGCAGGGCAGAAGGTGCTGAGTGATGGGACGCAGTGGTAAACGCTTGAACCACCAACTTGTACCTCATGTCTCCTGCAGGAGCTGTGCTTCCAATCCTGTCCACTTCATAGGGTAGCCACTTTGGCAGCACACACTGTGCAACTTTTCCATGGTTGCCATCTTCCTTCTTGCTCCTGGAACTTCCCCTCTGCCTTGTCAATGCCAAAATTTTTGTTTCATTAATGCTCCCACCAAGCTGCCAACACACACCACCTGAATGCATGCAGCTTCTAGCACAGAGGAACTGCCTGTGAGTTCGGGGATGTCCCTTTGCTGGTTCTCTTGGGAAAGGATTGATGTGAGACTGGAAGAGTGAAAACAAGGCAGTAATATTAGCAGCTGTCACCCTGACTGCACTGTAGGGCTGGAGGGGAGACACATGGCTCTGTTGTAAGAGCAAACTGGGGAGAGGTTATGGGAGAAGTCACAGCCGTGCTTGCAAGTAGCTGGAATTGATACCCTTCTCTGACAGGAGGATCCCATGGAGTAGTGGGTCCCAGGAGAAGGGCTGGAGGCTCTAATGCTGCCTTGTATTCATGTCTGCTTTGCTTAATGTGAAGGAGTGGAAGAAGATCAAACTTCAGGATTGATGACTTGAAAGCTTCTACTTTTTATTCCTGCTCAATAAATCCTTCATCTCAGAAGCCCATAAATGTTTGCCTTACTGCTGCTCTTTAATCAAGCTGCAGCAGCATCAGCATAGGGTTCCCTAAGCAGAAAGGACCTCGCTAGTTTCTTCAGAGAAGGGTCTAAGTTGCAAAAGCTTGAGTGTTGACTCGAGTGTTATTTAGTGAGCAGATTTCAAGTCAGCCTATTTCAGACCTACTGTCTACATTTCTGGTGTGCTTTCTGGTTCAGCTTTCAGACTTGCCCTAGCCAGCCCCAATGCTGGCTGATTGGAGCAGTGGCTGGAGCACAGGGTTGCTCTGCCAGATGGGTTCTAGGGGCGCTCAGGCTATGCAGACATACCCTTGCTGTGCAGCTGTTGCAGCACAAAGGGGAATATGCATGAATGATAGGCTCTTGCCTAGGATGTGCCATCCTGACCAAGCAGGCCACAGCAGAAGGAGCTATTGCAAGGCACAAAATGGAGGTTTGATAGGAAAGGCATGGAGGCTGGCAGCTATCCGATAACAAGGTGCTATTTCTGGCATTGCCAGCTCTCAGTTTTATCACGTATTTCAGTTATCATGAGAATGTTTTTAATACCCTGTCTCATGATGTTGAAAAAGTGTTTTAATCTCTCCACCTAATAAAAGAATTACAAAGGAAAATTGTAAATATCTATACCCCTATAACAATAAAGTATCCCCAATATCTTAATATTATATCATGGATTTTCTCATTTTGCACTGTGATTCTTAAGTGTGGGGTCTTAATTCATAGTACTTGTTAAGAAGATGCTTTATTAGTGAGTTGATCATTTCTTTGCTGCTGCTGCTGAGGTATTTCAAGGATGGCTGAGCAGAAGGTGTGCTGTCAGTAGGTATCGAAACCAAGCACAAAACTTTTGAGACAGTGATTCGTGTCCTGTGACTTGGGCAGGAAGTAGAGAGCTGTTTCTTAGCAGCAGTCCTGGGTGTTGAGGTCCCAGGCTCCATTTGCCATGTCCATGGTGTGCAGTTGACTAATACCTACCATCTCCATGTTTGGATGTAGTGGCCACAAATCGCTTGCTCAGCTACCAGAACTGTACTGGAGAAGCCAGACAAAGATTTACGTGTGCAGCTTTGTGTTTTCTGATTTCTGGCAGCCTTGCCAGACCTTCAAGAAAAGCCTGACTCCTTTTTTTCCCTTTCTCTCTATCCCTCAGGATTATACCCGAGTGGTGAGTCCAATCATAGATGTTATCAGCCTGGATAATTTTGCCTACCTGGCAGCATCAGCAGATCTGAGAGGAGGTGGGTATAATGAATGGCTTGTGTAAGTTAGGCCTGAGGGATGGTGCCTGAAAAATAATTTATGTTCTCTTCAGCTTTCTGAGAAAACAGAGTGATAATCTTTCTTGATGGGTTCTCTGTTCTTTTTTTCCTGCAACTTGCAAAGTCAGATCTTTTGCAGAATTAAGACAAAAACTAACTAGTGTTTTCCTCTTGAGCTTGCATCACTGCAACATTTTGCAATTTCAGGGCTTAGATAACTGATTAAACATATCATCATACCCTCCCTACACTACATGTACACTGGAACATGACAGGCACTTCCAGTTGCTGCTCCTGTCTGCCAAGCTATCTCATAGCATCTTCTGAAAAGCATTTTCACCTCTCTCGTGGCAGCTGAACCCCCTTGCAGCTTTTCCTGTGGTCATCCACAGTGCCTGGTGCTCTTCTGCCTCTTCTGTGGCTGAGGTTCACTGCTGCGCTGCTTGCCCACCAAAGGCTGCTTGTTCTGTGGCTACCCTTAGCAATGGTATAATGTTAGCGACTGTGATGTGCTCAACTATCCACCACAGGCCAACTATAAATAAATGGTAGTCTTGAAAGAGGTGATGATCTACAGGCCTTTGTTCCCAGAATACATCACATTCTGCAAAGTCCTTTGATTAAAGCCTCATAACTTTGGCAGACAGGAAAGTGTAAGACAGACTGACCAAAATGCAATTACATCTCGCACTAACAACCCCCTCCTGAAGATATGGAGTGGAATTGAGCAGAGATCTGTAATGCTAAGGGATTAGGATGCCAAGACAGAAGCTGGTGGACTTCTTAGCTACATGGGGATAGACTCTTGCCATTTTGGGTAGACCACAAGGGAGGACAGGGAAGGAAAAAAAGGATAGTCTGTGACGTAAAGGTGGAGACTATCACTGAAGCTAGCAGAAGAACAATAACCTATTTGATATGGTTTTTTTCCTTCTCAGGGTTTGACTGGAGCCTTCACTTTAAGTGGGAGCAGATTCCTATAGAGCAGAAGATGTCCAGAACCGACCCAACTCAGTCTATAAGGTAGCTGTCTTCAATGAATTGTGAGCATTCCACCTGTATGGCAAGGAGTGCACAGGGACTGCCTTGCTGAGAACAAAATGCTACAGTGTTCACTTGATGACGACAAACTCTTCATATTATTTTCTGAATGCATTGAGGTCTATAACCTAATTCTGCAAGTATTACTCCCTGAATATTGTAAGAATAGCAATTATATTCTATCATAGGCTTGTAGGCATGCCACTTCTTCTCTATGTTTGGTTTTGTGGTCTCACTCAACACTCTGCATCTCTCAGAAATCCCTTTGGGGGTTTTTAATTACCTCCATCTTCCATGTGAAGAATTAAGGAACGAAGCAGTTAAACAGTAACCCAGGAAGTGTAAAGCAGACCTGGGAACTGAATCTTGCCTAGTAATTTGGGCACAGAATTATCCTTCCCTCCTAAATATGTGTCCATGGACAAAACAGGCTCAGTTGGCTGGAATGGTGATTGCCAGACTCACTGCTGTATACATGGCTCTGGGGCATGTAGAATGTGACAAATACTGATATAAAAAGTCACAATACTTGTCTGCATAGGCAGACAACTCCCTGTTTGTAACATAAAAGTATCATTCAGTTCCTCTGTGTAATTTGTGAGTCTCTGTTTTCTACACCAGAAGCAACCAGCTTACTAACAGCAGAGCAGTATATTCAGCAAAGTCTCTCACACCGTGTCTCCTTGGTGAACACAGTCATCAGACAGTGCCCCTGTCATTCCTTCACACTGTGCAAATTTGTACAAATGCAAAAGACCCAACATTACTCGTGCAAGTAGTTTTTGCAGAACCACCTAGCAAAGGCAGGAGGGTGATCTAGTGAGAGGGATCTCAGAAGCCTGCTGTAGGTTCATGTCCCATCTCTATTATCTTTCTCTTTTAAATGAGATACAATTTGTCAGTCCTGGACAGATTGTCCTCCCTCTAAAATGAAGATGGTGATGCTACATATATGTGTGATTATTTTGTATGAGCTTGTGTGTTCTGTTCCAGAACCCCTGTCATAGCAGGAGGCATCTTTGTGATCGACAAGTCCTGGTTTAACCACCTGGGAAAATATGATACTCAAATGGACATCTGGGGAGGAGAAAATTTTGGTAAGTTCAGGGTGTTTTAGGGGAATGACACACTAATGTAGAACCAGTTCCAAGTCTTCATCTCCTACCAGAACTCTCCTTTTGAGAGATCTGATCTGCATGTTGATGTAAGGCTAGAGATGTGGTCAGGTAATCCCCGTGCCATTCAGAATCCTATCGCTGTCAGCTTTGTGCAAAGTAAATGGAGGCTTTTTGCAATCGGGGCTAACACTCTCTTACAGGCACGTGCACTATTATACAAGTGCTTCCACAGTACAAGTGAAAAAGAGGTACCTCCTGATATTTAAAGTGTTGCTTGTTTTTGGAGAACATTCCTCCAGTCCTTTACATGACAGTCTGTGTTGCCTCAGCTCTGAAGTGGACAGTCACTCCTATGCTCTCTTCTTACACCTGTTCCTCTCTTCCAGATAAGCCTGAGTTGCTCTCCCAGCTTGATAGATCAGAAGGATGTTTTTCCTAATAAAACAAGCCTTTTTGTAAGTGGAATTTGGGTACAAATAGCTTCAGAATGTAAACATTTAGAAGCAGACTGGGGCATCTTGAACATCTGAGGAATTCAGAAGCCCGGGCTAGTCTGTCCAATCCAGTGCTGTTATGTTACAGGGCATGGTGCTTGAACCCATCTCCTTGCACTTAATGGTGGCACAGATAATCCAAGCATCTCTTTGCCCCCAGTGAAGGGATGCTGCAATGTCACCAGGTGTTAGTGACAAAAGAAAGAAGAGTATTGAAAAGAGGTTCACAGAGACTTCAAGTATTTGGGACATTCATTTAGCAATGATGCAGGTGGAGCTGAAGAGATAAAAGCCTTACTCTGTTTTGCAGTCAACTTAAATAGACTTTTCTGTAGCTAAAGCTGCCAAGAAAATGATTCTGTTTCTGCAGTTTCCATAAATGTCACAGATTTGTAAAAAAAATTCCTTTAGAGAAGAATTTATATGGTGTTTTCTAGCACCTGGAGGACCAATTAGAAAGAAAGAAATAGCAAGAAGAGGAAATTTTTGTTTCTCTGAACACAGCTGGGAGACCTGCCTCTTTCTGAAATGCTCTCTGAAGCCAGGAAATAATATTTTTGGCTGATAGCAGAATATCAAGGTACTTTTTTTAAAAAAAGTATCTAATAATGAGTGCTTGTATTCTCTGTTTTCTGAGGTCTTTCTTCGGTTTTATGATACTCATATTAAAAAGATATTAAATGGGGCTTGAATTGGGATCTCAGCAGTGCTAGTAGCATCAGCTAAGCACTGTAGACAGAATTAACAGGCAGCCTTTATCTGAGCATAAAGGTCCCCTCTCCTGTGTCCCTCAGACTCCTCTGCACAGCCTAACTCAGCTCTTTGCTGTCACTAGCCCTGCTCCAGCTGCAGAGCCAGCCACTTGGCCACCTTTCCAGCTTCTGAGCTGCAGCTGTATGAAATTGTAAACCCCAAAGGTGGAGGAGGAATATTTCTTTAAGCTTTTGGTTCTCTGCTTCTGCCCACCTGGGAGCCCAGTGTTGTTGTTTGGTGCCTAGTCAGCAGCTTGATGCTAAGCAGAGCTCTGCCATAAGTGGCAGAAATTTACCTGCGCACCCACAGCCCATCTTGCACGTGGAGCTGATCAAAACCTCCGCAGAATTGCTTCATTCTTCTTCAAATTGCTCTTGTAAAGCCTGGCAGTGGCTAGGCCAGGCTATGTTGGCCTGAGCTCAGTGTACAGGGCTTCCCAGTTTTGTCTTGTTGTGTGGTTTCCCTGTAGAATTGTTGTCTCTTATCACTTGTCTCTTATCCTGCACCTCCACTGTTCACTTAAGAGGCCAAAGATAAAAGTCCACAATGCTCTATTTAATGGGGTCTGTCCCTGAGCCTCATTGCCACACCACCGCTGTGATGATGGCAATGGAAAGGTATTTTAAAGACAAAACGGACTACTTTTCTTTTTCTAAAGCAAACTTTAACGTGAGGCAACAAATCAACCAGTGGCTTCTACCTCAAGCCTGTTGCTGTTGCATGGCAAAGGAGTGGAAGCCAACCTGTATTTGACCACAAAAAGTGTTAATTTTCTTTCATGTATTCAGAATGGTTAATTTACCTTCTTAAAAATAAATTCCATACTTAATTGAAAATTAGATTTTGTGATCAAGGAAAAATGTTGATAATGGTCTGAAACACTATTTTTACTACAAATTACAATTTTGTGTGGGAAGGGACTGTTTGGATAAGGTCACCATTTGCAGCTGAGGTGGAAAAGTGGTTCTGGATAATTTGAGTGGGTGAGATGGGCCATTCCCTGCCCACGAAGGCCATTTTTAAATAAACTTCTTTGAAACTTTTTACCTGTTAGGAGCCAGGATAAGAGAGTGTATGGGAAGGGCACAGAGCCAGACAAGCTCTGCACACCCAGCAGATACACAGAAATGATCAGGCAGCAATTGCCAGCTGCCTAAATATCCTTCCAGCTGGATGTGAGCTGGTAAACCCCTTTTTCTCCCCACTTTCCATGGGGAAAAGCCACAGTGATGAAGTAATTTAAAACCCATACGGACTACATCATGTCCTGGGAAATATACAGCAAAAAATTCTGCTATGCTTTCTATCAGAGGATGTGTGAAAGTCCTTAATAAGCTACGTTTGATCTCCATTTTCTCTTCTGTGCCCAAAATCTGCATTCTTTCACCCTTTCTTTCAAGAATTCTATCATTTACAAACCTGGACATGCAATCTGTCTGTGCGCCAAAGACATCAATATGGCACGAAGAATCTTCTCTTGGGAAATGGACGTCACTTAAAGTTATGCATGCTAGATTGAAAGTTTTGGGTTTGTTACAGGTCGAAGTGAGTCAGAACTTCATTCCAGGAGAGCAAATGCCATTTGGATACACCACCAGACAGAAACTTGTGTCTTGGCCTTTTTTTGTTTGTTTTTAAAGTCCTTCCTCTCTTCGAAGCTGGAACTCCCTGTTGAAAAGAGACAAAACTACTAAGCTCTAGGAAGGAATCAAGGAGAGACAAGAGCTAATAAGAAATGCCACAAAACACAGTCTAATAAAATATCTTTTTACTTAGAAGCTAGATTAAATACACTGTCTTCCCGCCTCAAAACACACTGTTTAAACAACCTTTCCCAGGAGCTAGAGAGGAAAGCTATAGCGAAAGATGAAGGTTGGGAAGATGTCAGTGTGTGTACATGCTTTGAAACAGCCTTTAGATCTGGATACATAATTTCTTTTTAATTTGTAAACATCAGAGCCCCGTAATTCAGGCATTACTGGAGGGAGATCCCAACTGAGTAAAGTTTTTGCAGTAATCAGTCTGCACAATCCAAAGCCCTTTTGGTAAGGACTACCAAACTACCCAGCTAATTTTCATTTTCCTTCTTCCTTCTTCTCTTCTCACCGACACATGAAACACAAGCGGAAAACCCCTCCGGTGTGGCAGTGATTAAACTTTCGAGGACAGACCCATAAGCTTGAGCGAGGTCACATCTCTTCTGTGATGCAAATAAGGGCCTGTACATCAAAGCTCCATGTTCTTCTAATCCTTTAACAAAATGTTAAATTTAGCTTCAGGATCAGCTGGATTTCTTCAAGTAGCGGACTTCTCTCTGTATTTTTGTAGTCACACCATTAGACTGATTTCTGCTTTCAGTAGCTCCCCCAACAGAGGCAACTGGTGGCAAACTGTAACCCAGTCACCCTTTTTAAATTTTTCTTTAATTAGCAGATCCAAGCAGAACAAGAACCACAAGATATTGTAGAGTGGATAACATAGAGGTGTGAGGGAGAGGACTCTACTCTAGACTGATTCACTTTCTATGCTCTCATCTTGTAATCTTCTTTCTCCTTGTCTCCTAAACTCCCTTTCTTCCTCACACAATTTGCTTTACATGATGAATTCTTTTTTTCCTGCCATCCGTGTGCAGCGCTGGAGAGTTACAGAAGTCCAAACCAAGGTGATCGTGGGGGTGATCTCGGTCTGTTGCCAAAATTCCATCCTGAAAGCCTGACAGCAGCCACAAGGACCTGGTCTAAGGGAAGGGTGTCTCACTGAAATGCTTGGGAGACCAAAGAGAAGAGTGGGACTGGAGAAGGCTAGGAAGTCTCTGAGCCACAAGGGTTGCATCTATTTTAACAAAGGGAGGATAGTTTTTCCACTCTCACCATGGCATCACTTTACCTGGTTTTGCTGTTGCAGGCAATACATCTAGAGCAGAGGGGCAAGGTTTTCAGGCACACCGCTAAAGCTGCCGTTCTTGGAAATGCTATTGTTCCGCCTGCAGCTGTATTGACTCTTGAGTCTCTTCCAGAGCTCTCTTTCCGAGTGTGGATGTGCGGTGGCAGCTTGGAGATTGTTCCCTGCAGTCGAGTGGGACACGTGTTCAGGAAGCGCCATCCCTACGACTTCCCTGAGGGCAATGCGCTGACTTACATCAAGTAGGTGTTGGGTTGTTCCTGGTAGCAGCCAGGTGACCTTGATTTTGGGCATGTCTAAATAAGCCTGAATTCTCTGATGTCCTTCTGCCTGATGACAGAGGAGAACAGCTTGTGGCTGAACATCTGTTCTCAAGAGAAGGATGAGTTGCTGTTTTCTGTGAACAAAACCTGTTCCCTTTTCTGTTGTTTGTATTAGTGCATCTTGTTCTTCCTCAGCCTGCAATGGAAAGAAGGAGCAGTAGCCTAGAGAGGGACCCTGGCCGTTCGTGGATACTGCCCTATCAGCAGTCCTCAGTCACGTCTCTTGTCTCTGGGCTGCCTTTGAGTCCAGAGATCGTACTGAGTTATATGCGTCCTGAGGCAAGCCCTAAGGACAACTTCCACTGCAGGACAGTGGGGAGGAGAAAAAAGATGAGACAAAGTGCTTCATAATGAGAGTGGTTAAGCACTGACACAGGACCCCAGAGAGGTGGTGAAATCTCCATCCTTGGAGATTTCGAAACTCAAGTAGACAAGACCCTGAAGAACATGACCTAACCTGAAGCTAGTCTGCTTTGGTCAGGAGGCTGGACCAGGTGATACCTAGAGGTGCTTTCCAAGCTGAATTATTCCATGGTCTTATTCCAGTCTGGGGAAAAGGATACTGTAAAGCAGGATGATAGTGACAGTCAGTCCAGGTGTCTCTGCAGAGGAAGCACGTGTGAAAAAATCATGGTAAACTGTGGCTGTTAAAATTTTAACTTCTAAACTGAAACATCCTTGCAAGGCTTTGTAGACTTAACACATTTGATTTATATCCATCTATACTGCCCACTGTGTGTCATATTTGGGACTGTCCCTCACTCCCTCCTGGCAGATGGGCCTTGGGTCTGCCCACCCAGTGCCTTCTCGCTGGGAGGGCAGCTTCTTCAGCAGCACTCAGCAAAGCATCTCCTCATCCCCATGCAGGAACACCAAGCGCACAGCAGAGGTATGGATGGATGAATACAAGCAGTACTACTATGAGGCCCGGCCATCTGCCATTGGGAAGTCATTTGGAAGGTAAGTAGCCCCCAAATCTTGGTAGGAGGGCTCTGGTAAGCACCTCGCTAGCAAGAAATAGTTTTTGGATCTTCCCTGGGGCTAAGTCTGGGAAACAGAGATGCTCTGAATTGCTGGCTTGCCAGGGAGGTTGCAGCTTGAGTGTCAGGATAACAAGTTTTGCTTGTAATCCACTTTATTTTTCCCCTAGTAACCCTGCATAAATAATTTGTTAGCAGAAGGCTGAAGTGATCTATAATGAAATTAAAAGGCCAGACATTTTAAGTGGATAAATAAGAATATTTTCTAACACAGCATGCTGCTGCTCTGGAAATGTGAGCTATGCCGTTACTAGAGCTTGATCCAAAGTTCCTGTGTGGATGCAGAATCCTGGGGCAAGCACAGCCAGCTGCCACGTGGGGCAGGTTGCACTTGGTGCATCCCCCTCTTTCCTGATGAGTGAATGGGTGGTGTGCCTGGTTTGTAGGGAAGGAGAGAGCATGGACAATGGTGAGAAATCTCATTTAGAAACACAGTCTAGTTGTGACTTGTCTCCACCACCTGCTGAGCCCACTTCTATGGAGAATTGAGGTCCTTACAACACCTTTGCTAAAGACACTTCCAGGCCACATGGAATTTGCTGTTATGGGCTTAAGCATTCTTTGTGACCCAGAAATCAGTGACGGACCTCAAAACCTGGGATGAGGGGAGAGCTTGCTCTCTGTGCTAACAAACCCCTATAGCTCACAAGTAAATATAAAAAATCCTAGGACTGGTGTATATCTGTGGATTATATCTGCAGGTTATATCAGTCTGAACAAGAGACTATTGTTGTATCAGCTGAAGGACTTGCCAATTGTGGTTTTATCTCAAATGTGTAGCTACATGCACTAGGTAATGATGCATCTCCTGCCTTGTTTAACGACAAGCAGGTTTGTTCTGACCCACACACATTTTTTTGGTTTACATCGTTCTTTATTAACATGATCCATTACATATTTTTGTACAAATAGCTTTGCCTACCTAAAGTATCTGTCTTTGAGCTGACTGCAGCAGCTGGGCTGAGACCAAATAGCAAGTAACCCTGCTGCTTGTGAAGGGAACCTGACTATTGCATATTGGACGTGGATATATTGCTAATGTGTTTTAGGGCCAAAGCCTGCAGTTCTTGTTCACGCAGACTTCATAGTGTCTTTACTGGCAGCATTGGCTGAATAAGAGCTGCAGCAGAGCTGTAGCGTTTGATTTCAGGCGATTTCTTGACCTGTAGTAACAGCCCTATGAACCTGCATTAAATCTAGATTTTAGAATGCAAATGCCACTGACACCATCACTGTCAACTAGGCCTAAAATAGACCCTTCTTCCTCATAATTTTGATGTGAATATAGGATCTAAGTACATTCTCCTGAAGTATGGGCAGTACAGTGGCCTCTGCGGGCTGAGGATGGCCAGGAGTATGGGTACAGTTGAAAGTCCATCCCAACAGACAAATGTAATGGTACAGCTTGAAGAGGAGAGTCCCTAGTCACTGCTCATTAGGACTGCTTGAGGGAAGTCCTCTCTTCTTCAGTCAGCTAAAGCCAAGCAAATCAGTGGTGGGAGGACTGCTGCAGCAGACAGTTACCGAGATGCTCATTTAATTTCCCTTTATATTCCTTTCCTTTCCCAAAACTGCCTAAGAACAAATAATTGTGGTCTTTAGGTCTGAAACTCAGCCTGAGCCTAGAGCTGCTGCTGTGTTCCCTCACCTCTAGCACACACAGGTTAACTGTTTGTACATACCTGAGCACCAACACTTTCTAGGCCTTTTCAGGAGCTGATGGTTGTGCAAGTTTCAAGATATGCCTTTACCAGGAGCACCCAGAGGCAGAAACACTTTCATGGTGCTACGGTAGTTTTTCTCTAATGTATTATTTAAGACATTAAGAGGTAGGACCTGGGCTCTGCCATCGTTCTGAGCCAACGAAAGTGCAAGAATTGGTCTCTGAAAGTGTTTGTCTTCCTTTTCTATTTCCTGCCACTTGCCTCTCTGCACCTTTTCACATCAGGTCACTGCTAGTGCTCTGAACCCAGCAACAACTAGATGGGAGAATTAGTAAGGGGGAAAAGTCATATAGTCTCCCTCAAACTTCCTGACTGATCTCATTGTTCCCCTCCCTCCTGTTCACTACCTTATCCTCAACAACCTGCACATGTTTCCAGTGTTGCAGACCGAGTGGAGCAGCGACGCAAACTGAACTGTAAATCTTTCCAGTGGTATCTGGAGAATGTCTACCCTGAGCTCAAGTGAGTCAGTTCTCTGCTTGTAGAAATCTCTGAAGGTTCTGGGAGGTGGGTCACAATGAGAAGCTGAGCCTTGCATCAGCGGGCAAGAGAGACATGCTTGGAAAAGATTTTCCTCTGTTCTTTTTGGTGAGAAACTTCCTGTGATTTCCTGGCTTGTATCATCACGACAACTCTGGAAAAGTTTTGTTGCTCCTGCCTCTGGGAGCCCTCTGCTCTTCCCCACACAGCTGTCCCTCAGAGATGTGCCACAGTGGTGTTTTTGGAGGTGCAGGGTGCAGACAAGTGCCAGAGCACTACATCCCTCCCTGTTAAGGCTTGATCTCTGCCTGTTGGGTGCTCTGCCTCGAGGTAGTTGAGCCAAGCAGAGCTGGACGGCCTCATTGCAAAGGTGCGGGTGGTGAAAAGCCCTGGTGAGTGCCAGAACCGGCTGTGCCTGTGGCTTCCCCTGCCCCAGGTCAGGATGCAGTAGTGCTGTGGCATTGCTCTGCTGGGAGGTAGCCTGGATAGAGCTGTGTTGTTAGCACTTGCTCGCTAACACACTCTGACAACGCATCTTTACATCTCAGTCAAGCAAAGTCTGTGGCTAACATGGGACGAGCCTAAAACATCCAGCTGTAGTCTGGCCTTGGCTGATCTCTCCTGTGTTTCCTGTCTCACTACCAATGAGACAGTGAATATGTGCTAATACTGAGGGGAAGGGTCTGGAAATAGGGGAGGCAGAAGCAGGATAAATCAGTGTGGGTATGGCTTTTTACTGGCAATGACCTCTTTCAGAAGAGACATCACATTGAACTGCTTGGGGTGCACCTAAAGCACCTTATGCCTTCTGAAACAAAAGGGTGCCAGCCCTCTGACCAAGTCCTCCTTTGACTTTTGCCTCCTCCAGACATTTCCAGTGGATAGCTAGCATAGTATTGTTCATTTTCTGTCAAATAAAGGGAACTATGTTTCAGTAAGGAGCCATTTACGGCCTTCTAAATGTGTGTGTGTTTTGAACATTTTTGTGTATGAAGTGCCATGCAACTGTCGTTTTACTTCAAGGGTTCCTGAAAAGGAGCTGATTCCAGGAATAATTAAACAAGGAGGAAACTGCCTGGAGTCTCGGGCACAGGATACCACCGGGAATACGTTGGCTGGCATGGGAATCTGTAAGGGAACAGTGAACAATCCACCTGTCACTCAGGTAAGGCAGGCTTCAGTTTGGTGCTTTGCTCCTGCTTCTGCCCTTTTTATTACTGGTGAATCAAAAGTCATCTCTGGCCTTGGTGGGTTTGTACAGAGGTGAATGAAGGACGAATTTGGCCATGTTAATAATTTTAATAGTAATCAGAAAAAGAAGCTTTGCCCATCTCTTAGAGCTCTGCTGGCTCAACAGACCCAGCAGTCAGGCATACAGTGGGAGGGTTTTCGTCACTCAAAGGCAACAGGTAGTGCTTGAATGCTCAGGGGTGTGACTAGTCTGTGCAGTAGGCGTGCGGCCAGAGTTTGAGTCATGTAGCTGTTCCCACTCAGACCGTTGCTTGGGTGTCCTCTGCTTCATTGTCCAACCCATGAGAACAGGTCCTGGGGTGTGCTTGGCTAGTACCCTGGCACGTGGGTAAGAAATGTTCCTTGGTTTGACAGTTATCTGTAGCTGCAGACCGCTTGAATTGTGCTGTTTTACAGATGTGTATCAGTATAAAGCCCAAATAGAGTTGAAATAGCCAAGACTCCAGCTGCAGTAATTTGGTGCAGCGCCTCTAACTGCAGTGAAGCTGTGCTGGATTATACCAGCTGAGGATCTGCACTCAGCCTCTTCTTTTGGTGACCAAAAGCAGCAGAGAAGCGGCTTGAGAAAGTTAAGGGTCACAGTAGGATATTTCATGCCAGAAAATACATATTCACATCTGTTAACTGTTGGAAACCAGTTTGCAGCCAGCATTCAACATACCATTTAATCTGACTCATTGTTCCATGTCATTGCCATTTGAAATCTCTGAAACTTATTGCATTTTGTATTTCTTCCATGGGGAAAATATAATAATAATGGTTGATTGCGTTAGATGGATTGGTTATCCGTTTAGTGAGAGGGGGGAAAAATGAAGTGGCTTGTGCTTTATGTGTGCTGGTGATATATGTTAATCCACGGATACACTTGCATGTATTTTGCTTTACTTGACAATCTATAGGTCCCAGGTAGCTGTTATAGAACGTCTGGTATGTAAAATATGCAGAAGCAGTTGAACGTCATTTAAATCAGTGGTTGGGTTCCTCCCTGCTTTGTAGGCCTGAGTCTGTAAAGCTGCAGAGCAGGGAGTTCCATGGGATCCAAGGTTAATCGGACAGCTCAGATGGCCAGGGGAGCAAGCTCCAGGCGTTGAAATAGTCATGATGGACCAAGCCATGGACCAAGCCATGGTCCATCATGACTGGGCATAAACTTGGACCTGAGTTCATGCTTGGACTGAGCATATCATGGACCTGAGCATAAACTTCTGATCAGGTGAAGACTGCTGCCATAGTCTTCCCAGGGAGCCTTTGGCAAGAATTGAACAAAGGATACAAGTTTTTGAAATACCTGATAGAAAAAACTCTTTCTCCCTCATCTGATCACCATTATGATCCTAATGGTACCTTTCTTTTTCTTATGCCAAAGGAGTGGGTATTCAGTGATCCTCTAATTAGACAGCAGGACAAGTGTCTTTCCATTGCCTCCTTCTCTACTGGCTCTCAAATCACACTGGAAGCCTGCAATCAAAAAGACGGCAGACAGGTAGGTAACTGTGCACCTATCTTTAATCCCTCCCTTGCCACATACCAGCATTCCTACATCAGTGCAGCCTGCAGGGCCAAACCTAGTACTATCCAAGTGTGTGATAGTCCCATCTTCTCCGTCTCCCTCTCCGGTGCGTTTAATAAACTCGGAGGTATGAGATTGCCCACAGCCAAAGTGGGGAGCGCAGACCACACTAGCGGGTGGGTGTTTGCTCTGCCTGGGCCCTCAGCAGCATGGTTAGCTCCAGCTCAGTAGCACCCCAGCCTCACTGCTTGGATACATTTATGTTCAGCCAGATTGGTGCATGGATGGAGCACAGCATCAGAGAGGGATAGATAAGCAGCAAATGTGTTGAGATACCCAAGGGAAGGGTGGTGTGTGCTATCAGTTGTTTACTTATTTAGAAGTGAGACCTCTATGTTCTTTGTGCTGTCTTTGGACATGTGAACAGACCGTTAGAACTGAGCATGTGCAACTCATTTGAGAAATACCGACTAACATAAAGCATCATATGTTCCACCCAAACTGCTCCCTGAGGAAAAATACACGGCAGCAGTGTGCCCAGCAAAATGCAGTGTTCCCAAAAAAATGCAGCTCAGTGACTCTTACGCTGTTTCCAAGATGTAGATCCCTGATCTGTCAGGACACGTAAGTCATTTTGCCTTACAGAACGAGGTAAGAGACAGCCTCTGCGATGGCCAGGGTGCCCTCGCAGAGATGTGATGTGCCTTTTTATCAGAACAACAGGTGACAATGCGGCACTGGCAGACAGTGGACTGGGCTTGTTTCATCCCTAGTTCCTGTAGCTTCCCTCTACACTAAAAGAGAGCATGTTTTCTGTCATCTAAGGCTATGCTGGCTCTGTGTTTTCTGACACATCTATTGTTTTGATAGCCCGAAGGTAGGAGACAGCTCAGCTTGCTACCAGTCCTCAGCAGCATCCTCTTTTGTACAGTACTTTTTAATGCTATACGAATCTCTGAATTTAGTTCTTCCTGAAAGAAAGCGCTGAAATCCAGTTTTCCCCATTTATGGAAAGCCTGTGTAGACTTTCCTCTGGAGAGTTGGTTAATGCAGGAACGTCTTGAAGAGTTGTCACCGTGAATACGCTGGGAAAACTCTGAGTTTGGATTAGGCTTGCAAGGATATCCCAGGTGGGCTGTGCTTGCCTGCTCCTTTTTCTTGTTGGTAATCACTCACCTCCTTGCTGTGTAATTAGGTCACTTAGCCTCCCCTTAGGTGCCTTGCAGCGTTTTTCTCCCTGGCAGCAGAGAGCACTCTAGCAGCTGCCAAAATCAGCTCTCTTTCTCCACCTCCCCTGTCATGGAAGGAGAAGGGTCCCCTGAAGCAGGGTGGAGTGCAAGCTCTATCAACCAGAAGAGAGATTAATCCACAAGCAGGCTCATTCTGCTGCTGGAATAGGATTTATTGAGCCTTGATGTGTTGATTATATACAGGCTCATTATAAAGACATGCACATGCACTTAAGGATGTGAGCTGTTGTTTTCCATTACCTTATGCGAACAAACTGCGCTTAAATCAAGGACTTGACCTAGCAGATGATTTAGCCAACTGACTATAAGCAAGGATTTTGTTTAAGCATTTCAAATAATTAGAGACTGATTTGAATCACAGCTGTCGTTCCAAACTGCCTTGCAGCTGAAGGGATGAGATGGGGATGAGGTGGGAGAAATGCATTTGAATTTTTAATCTAATTTAGGTTGAAATGCTCTGAAATGTCTAGGGTTCTTTGGAAGTCTCACATTCCCATTTCAGATTTCTACTTATAAAGCCAGTTCAACTTGCAGTGCTTAAGTTTGTTGTGTTCTTGAGGAATGTTGTTATGGTCCCTTCCTTCCATAAACACAACTGTAATTGTTGTTAATACTGACATTAATTAGCTCGAAGTCAGTCGTCTTAGCAAACTATTCCATTCTTTCTCCTCCATCTCTTTTCTAGAGGGACCACCTGCGGGTAACGGAATGTTTTCTGCTTACTTTGGGAACTGACTCTTTCTCTGCCGAGTCTGAGCTAGAGCGGAAAGTGAAGCTAACAACTTTTATGGGGGTCATCTGAGAGTGTATGTCTGGGCCGACAAGGCATGCTTCTGGCAACAGAAAGCCGAAACAGAGAGTGTTTTTCTTCCTGGGTTGTCATTGTGCAGAACTCCCTGTCTAGGATGTCACCCAAGCCCAGCTCCTGATATTTGGGAGGCTGAGTTTCAAGGAGATGGCCACTACTGTAGAAACTTTAAAGTGTGAAATTAAAGAGCAAAGCTGGAGGGAACAAACTCCCTCAGTTGCCCCACAACTTGCCTGTCTCCCCATGGGTACTCACAGCCCCAAGTGTGAGTGCTGGGGGAGAGCAGTGTTTTCAAACTACACGAGTGTAGCCACTCCTTGGTTCAAGTGGGCTTCTGAGAAAGTCAGAGGGGCTGAGTGAAAGTGTAGAAAGGGAAGCTGAGCTACTTCAGAGATACGGAGGTGGCAAGCAAGAGCCCTGAGTAGGTGGTCTGAGTGGAAGGAGTTGAGAAATGCACATTACACATACAATATCTTAAGAGGAGATGGTGGCATGATGAAAGCCCAGCTTTGAACATCTCTGGTGTCACTGTCATCAGAGGTCTGTGGTGGGAGACATTTGGACTTTTCTAGATCTAGACTTCATGTCTATATCTGAGTGATGTAAAAGCAAGATTTCTGACAAAAGATGGGGCATGTGATGGCTTTGTTTTTTAGTGTCACCTGAATAGATTGGTTAGATCCTTATGACAGCACCATACAGCTCCTGAAGTTGCTTTCTGCTTTCAAATATACTGAATCTGGGCTCATGCTACACAGCTGTTGTGCATTAAGTGTGTCCACAGGGCAGATAGTTTTGTTGTTATTTTTGAGTGCTAACAATAGTCCCTCTAACACACATGTAATACTCTAGTGAAGTATCCAGAGTATTACTTCAAAATAAGACTAGAACTTTGCAAGTAGGAGGATACAATGGTCAAAATGGTCAAAATTTAGGTGATTTTTGGTTCTGTTAGACAATTCTCTCTTGGATTGAAAGGAACCAGGAACAAAATCTATTTGGCACCATGATCCCATTGATCATTCAACAGCAACAGCTGACACTGCTAGCAGAAGACCAGCCAAGAGCTATTCTGCATAATCAGAACTAGATTTCAAACCAGATGGATGTTATCCATAATGTTATTTGGAGAATAGCATTTTTTAGTTGAATGCACAATAAATTATTGCCTTTAGCTTTGTTTTTGGCTCTGATTGACGGTGGGAGTGGTGTTTTAATTTGTATTATAGCGAGGACAAATAGAAGGCAAAGTGAGACTCAGACACTAAAACAAGAAAATGAAAATGAGAAACACTGGCACAGTATTCCCCAACAGAACAAGAAGCGTGCTGAGAAATCCTATTAAACAGCCATATTTCATGAAAATGTGCTGAAGGAATGTGACCCCAGCCTGAAAATGAGGACACTAAGTTTTCGTGTGAGACAAACAGTATTTGAAGTCCTGTGTTCCTTTGGACGTGATTGGGAAATTTTCCCACCTTGCTTCTCAGTGCATCATATTATCCAAAGTGCAAACAGATGCAACTCTACGTAGACTATCAGAAAAGAGAAGTAGTGAAAACCTGTCTGTTCTGGAAGCACCTGACTTTTGATTACCCTGAAAAATTACACTAGTGTGAACACTTTCAACTCTCATATACATTGAGTAGACAAGGACTGGATATTTCTGACTTTTGTCTTAGTAATTGCACATGGAGTGCTTCTCTCTAGTCACCTCAAAGTACTTTACAATGATAGATAATAAAGATGGAGGATCAAGACACAATATTTCAAAGAAAATGTGGATTCTTAGTTTTCCATCTCCGCTCCGAACCTGTTGTGACCAGTACACTGTATTATCTCCATCTGCACAAGAAAGGGAGACCAAGGAATATTTTCAAGCCAAAATTTTTCAGTTTGTGCAATGCGTATATCTTCCAAAAGCTTTCCTTCCAAGTATAGGCCAGTCATAATGTCTGGGCGTAGGAGAGGAGAGGACTCCTTGTAATGTTTGGCTGGGTATGCAGGAAGTGTCTGCTCTGTTTGTTTGGTTTTCCTAAAGATGGACATCATCACTGTCATTTAAAAGTTAGCCGTCCAGGCTTCCACTGTGGTCTGTACAGAAAGCTGAGCCCTCCCAGAAGGTGCTTGTACCTTCGACCTCTCCATAAGTACGTCACCAGGTGACTAGTTTAGACTAAGTTACCCAGCTCTGAGGTGGCTGACGGTGGGTTTCTGCTCATTCCTACTCCCCACCCTCCTCAAGGGTTTGAGACATGATGTGTCCCTACAGGGTTAGGTGTTGGGCTGTCCTTGGTGATCCTGTGGTCTGGCAGTCAGGCATTGAGGTCTTGTGAAAGGTTCGGGTGAAGTCAGGAGAGTTGCTCTGGTATCTCACAGAGGACAGCAAAGCATAGTTTCTGACCAGAAAGGGTAGAATCCATCATTCCAAAAATACCACTACCATGTGAGATAAGAAGCCCTACTTTGGATTTTACTATCAGTACGCTTTGTAATAGCTCCATGCATGGCACCTCCCTGCAGCGCAGATGAGCCTTATATTCAACTCCATCACCTTTTCAGCATTTCTTCTCCCCTTCCCCATCCTTGCCTCACTTTCTGTTGAACATAGGGATCCTGGGTGACTTGAAACGCTGCGCCTTCCAGTGGTGTGATTCACTGAAAAGTGGATTGATTTGGTGTAGTTTGTTAGCAGCAGAAAATGTGCTCTGGTGAGTGTTTATTGGTGTCCTGCTGTGTCTGTTGCTGTAGACTCTCCCTGCAAACATCACAGTGGATACCTGCTCAGCATGGTGAGATGACACGGCAGCAGGTCTCTGATCTGGAGGAATAACATGAGCGAACCTCTCAGCGATGCTAGTTTTCTCCTGAATGGCTAGGGGGGAGAAGAAAACCAGTGTGTCTTGGTGCCCTTGTCCTCCATCTCAACCCTCATAACAGCTTATTTCTTTACTGCAGAGTCTTCTGGTGAGCTATGGGGTGTGTGGGAGGGGTGGCTGGCAGGCATTCTCTAGCACATGCACAGAGGAAGGCGAAGGAGAAGGCTGGCAATTTGCAAGTATAGAGAGGCAGGGGGAGGGTGGAGGACAGGAAGAGCTTCCCTTTGTACAGTAGGTGTGCTTTGGAGAAGGTAAAGAGACTCTTCACTGAGGTGTCTGTGACCCTGTGAAACAGTGGTGGGGAGGCCGTTGTGCAGAGATTGCACCAGCTCGGTACAGTGTGCTGCTTTCCAGGGGAGACCTCCTGCTTTGTACTCTGTGTCATTACAGCTTCAGCTTTATGGTATTAACTCTTCCTCAGCTGTTTGCAGAGACTTCTGCCAGATGAGAGCCCGGTGGCTCTGGGACCTGTGTAGGCACTGAGTTGCAGCAGCTGGCGAGGGCATTGCTGTGCACAGACTGTGTTGTATCTTCCTCTCCATCATCACTACATTCCTCTGCCCTCTTGCCTATTAAAGCCAGCTTCTTCCTGCTGCACAAACAGCTCTCCTTTCGTGGTGTCCTGTCAGTCGGGGCTAGCACTGCTGGCAAAGTGATCCTGCCCCTGGTATTTAGTCTTGAAGGAATATGTGATACAGGAGCAACAGATTACTCTGGGCTTTGCAACTGCCCTGTCCTCCAAGAAACATAACTAGCATGCAGATTTTGAGGAGAGCTGCCAGCAATATGTGAACATAACTGGATGTCTTAAAGAACACAGCATGTGGCAGTTTGTGTTACCAAGAATTAAAGTGTTGGTGGGTTTTGACGTTGTCTGGATATTGCAGGAATTTTTTAATTCCCTTTGAATATCATTTCTACAACAACCTTGAGGCCCATCAGTGCTGTCAAGCTGTTTCTTTTTCTCCATCAGTCTCGTGGGTTAGCCAAAATATCCTCATAGTTATAGTTTACTGACTGAGCACGCAGACCCTAATTCTAACTAGGTCATCTGTGTGACTGAAAAGGGTGATGGGAAAATCACTGGAGCCTGGAGCACTCAATCCAATAACCTGCAGATTTCAGCTATGCCCCACTGCAGGGAAATGGCACAGCCTCACCTGGGAGATCCCAAGTCCACAGACTTGTTTCTACTTTTTTTCTCTTCACTGCCAGCCACAATAGTCCTGGTTCTTTCCAGCAGGGATGGAAGGTACAGCCCTTTCCCAGCAGAATTTACAATTCAAGGTTAGGACATATGTTTTGTTTCCTGGAAAGCAGCACAACCAAAGTGGGCCTTCAGGAAAGGGTTGCATGTGGGACCTTGTGGATATGCTCTGAGGGGAGCAGACCCAGAGGACAGCGCTGCAGAAAGCAGAGCAATATTTACCGAGAAGCCGTCAAATGGACACTTAAAAACTGAAATGTTGGCAGGACAGATAAGATTATGAAGAAGAGCCAACTGAGAAAGGTGCAGAGCTATGAAGAGCTTTCAATGTAGTGCTGATAAAAATCTTGAATTTGATGAGAGGAGAGGTGAGGGGACATGGAAGAGAGAGAGATACAATCTAGCCAAGCAGCAAGAAGTGTGATTTTTTGCTTTCTGTGAATGGATTGCTTTCCATCTTGCAATAGCTTTCAATGCTTTGCTTTCTACAGACTGGAAAGAAACCACAGAAAGGTTTCAGGTTTTGACAGGCGTCTGGATACCTAGAGATGCAGGACAAAGTATGGCAGGGGAACTGTGAATATAATATGCTTTTGAAAATGCCAGTAGTTGCTGATTTTGTTTGCCTTCTAAATGCTGTTGTGCTGTTGCGTGTTGTTTACCTTCTAAATGCTTCTGAATATCTAGCCCTATAATTCAGCTACACTCAAACTTCAGGAATTGTTAATACAGGAAACGAGTGTTCAGAGTTGCTGCCCATACCCAGATTTTCAGTCTCTCGAGGAAACGAGTGTTCAGAGTTGCTGCCCATACTCAGATTTTCAGTCTCCCCAGTTGCTGGAGTTTACTTGAGGTTTATGCTCAACCTTTCTCTTGGAGGCACAGTTTCCTGGTGAAATGGAAGTAACAGCATGTTTCTTCTCTGTCTTCTCACAGAAATGGAAGATGAAAGGCAGTTTCATTCAACACTTTGTCAGCGGTCTCTGCCTGGAGAACCAGACTGGGAGAGTAGTGACCAACCCTTGCCAAGCAGATGTACCTGGCCAACAGTGGGAGCTGCTACAAGCAACATGATGGTAGCACAGAGATCTCCTTGTTTCTTTGTGCATGAGACTTTGGAAACAGAGAGGAATCGGGAAGGGAGGAATGTTTTTGTGTGTCTGACCCTAAATGTTCTCATTGTGCCCATCTGCAAGCCACCATTTCAGCTGAGCACTTGGTGTTTTTGAGCTTTTCAGAGAAGAAACTGGAGGTGAGAGAAGGATGAGGAGAGTTGTTGAAATCTTCCCATCTGTTGTCTTAACTTCTCCTTTGTAGCTGATGTCTGTGCACAGCTGCACTCAGAGAGGGGGGAACACCCAGCCCAATACTCGGAGAGACTAGAACTGCCTTGCAGCTCTCCCCATCCATTCCTTTCTCTGCATCCAGATTCCACTACCTTCAGTCCAACACCTTAAACGAGGCTTATACAAACATTGGTGGCTCTTTGGCTTCCCTGGCTTTTCACTCTAACATTGTGCATCATTTATGCACATGTGCATCTCAGTGAGGACTGACCAGAAGAAGAATCATCATGATGAGTGGAGGGGCTGGGAAGGAACTAGCAGATCCTGGGAGCCAGTCCGTAACCTCTTTGTGGTGGGCCCATTCCTTCCTCTGCCCAAAGTAGCTGCCCTACAGCCAAATGGTCTGAGGTTGGGAAATGGGGCACAATGCTGACAAGAGAGCTGGAAAAAGGACAATCTGTTTTAGCAGCATAACCAGGGATTGTTTTGGGAACTGTTCCCTGTTGAATTCTTGCTTCCAGTTTTTTACAGGTGGAAAGCCAGCCCTGCCTCCACGAGCGATCCAAGCCTGCAGGCAGCCCAGCTGGACTTGGGTTCAGGGTACCACACTCCTGCAGAGCTGGTCAGACAGGTGTGCCGACACTTCAGGATGCTGGGGAAGCTGAGACTGTTCTCTGGCTGCTTTTCCTGGTGCAACCAGACACTGAAGGTGATGCACAGAGCTGTGTGGGCAGCACACACTGACAGCACCACTGCACTTGGCTCAGGCCTGTGGCAGGAGCCCACCCAGTTCCTGCTGCCAGAGGCAGAAAGGGGGTCACCACAAGCTTCCTGCTGCTGTCTGGACAGAAGCACAGCCCTCTTGCTGGCTCTCTGGCTCTGCATGGCCCTTGTGAACACAGCCTGGCATGAAAAGCCACCCAATCCCTCTGTCTAGTTGCTTTCCCCCATCTCTTTCAGAAAAAGGAGGCAGAAAGGCCTGGGGCTGGTCTACTGGCGACGCCCAGCTCTCCTTATGGTTGGCACCTTGGGGAGGTTAGTTAGTGAAACTGCCACCTGCACAAATACTGCAGCAGTACAAGCCTGCCCTGAGAGATGTTGCCTTTGTGTTCTGGAAATAGTGAAGACAGCTGGTGTCTCTAGCTAGCATCCCAGTCCTGCTCCCAGTTATCAGCTGTAGCTGAGTGTGGGTTTTCAGACCTGCCAGAGGAAGTTTACCATTCAAATAAAAAAAAAAATACCCACACGTTACTTTCCTCTACCAGGTCTATTAAATTTTCCTCTTGGAGCTAGGTTTTGTAAACCAACCCTCCTCTCCAAGAGGGAGAACCAGATGGTGGGGCCACCTTCAGAAGGCAATTGCTTGCCTGGATCCTTTCTGATCTGATGTAAGAGAAACAGAATGTTTGTTTGAATTCTGAACAGCTGGCTGCCTTTGATCATGCTTGTGTCCCTTTTTAATTCTTTATCCTACTTTGGTATTAGCCCAAACAGTTGACAAAAGAACAGATACTGTTCTTCATACATTGCATGTGCTTGAAGGTGCTTGTGTGAGAACTGGACGATTTGTTTTCCGTTCTCGATTCTTTTATTTAAAAAATCAAATCAGCCAGGTGGCAGGAGCTCTTTTATTTAAAAAATTAAATCAGCCGGGTGGCAGCTCTTTTCCTGTTTCCCCCTTCACTTTGACATCAGCTCACTGTCTCAACACTGATTAACCAGATGAATGACCTGCCTGCACTGTGAAAACTCAGGAGGCAGTTCCCTTTGGTTCCAAGCTTACAGCATGTTGCAGCTGCACTTCTGTGTGGGAAT